CAGGTCAGATGATACGACTACAAAATCTATCATCGACCTGTGACCTAGGCTGCCCTGGTACCAAGTGTACCGGTGGGCATCCTTATGTTCGAACATGGTGTTCGTTATGGCCAAACTGCGGCTTGCACAGAAGTCCAATAACAAAACACCGCTCGAGTTCTGATTAGGTGGGCCGTTCCTCCCAATCACACCCCTCCAGGTCAAGCTGTCATTGCCCACGTGAGCATTGAAGTCCCCCAGCAGGACAATGGAGTCCCCTGATGGAGCACTATCTAGCACTCGTCCCAGGGACTCCAAAAAGGGTGGGTACTCTGAACTGATATTTGGCCCATAAGCACAAACAACAGTCAGGACCCGTTCCCCGACCCGAAGGCGCAAGGAAGCTACCCTCTTGTCCCCCGGGGTAAACCCCAACACACAGGCAGAGAGTCTCGGAGCTAACAAAAAGCCAACCCCAGCCCTCCGCCTCTCACCCGGAGCAACTCCAGCAAAGTAGAGTGTCCAACCCCTCTCCAGGTCTCGGGTTCCAGAGCCAATGCAATGTGTCGAGGTGAGTCCGACTATATCTAGCCGGTACCGCTCAACCTCTGCCACAAGCTCCGGCTCCTTCCCCGCCAGCGAGGTGACGTTCCATGTCCCAAAAACTAGTTTTCTTGTCCGGGGATTGGACCGCCAAGGCTCCAGCCTTGGTCTGCCACCCGATTCGCATTGCACCGGACCCTTCATGTTCCTCCTGCGGGTGGTGGGTCCACAGTTGGACGAGCCCATGTATCCGGTTCGGGCTGGGCCCGGCCGGGCCCCATGGGCGAAAGCCCGGCCACCAGGCGCTCGCTCACGGGCCCCAACCCCAGGCCTGGCTCCAGGGTGGGACCCCGGTAACCCTCCGGGCCGGGTACTCCGACTCTTCGTTTTAACCGCCATGAAAGATCCTTCGAACCGTTCTTTGTCTCACCCTTCACCTAAGACCAATTTGTCATGGGAGACCCTACCAGGGGCACTAAGTGCCCCAGACAACATAGCTCCTAGGATCATTAGGGCACTCAAACTCCTCCACCACGATAAGGTGACGGTTCAAGGAGGAGGCATTAAACTTTCCCTAAGGTAACCCTGGAGTGATAAAATTACCCAACACACCCATCAGACCGTTTTGCCATCAGGGTTCAGAAATGTATTTAATGCGAGGTTTGCCACATTTCCACTGATAGAGTTCTGAGAAATTTCTGGGACAGGGGAAGGTGACAAGGAAAATATGCTGGTTCTGTCCTTTCAGCCGTCGTGTCTCCAGCCCTTTCAACCCTAAGATGTCGGCATATCACGACGGTTCTGGCACAGTGACATCACTGATCAGTGTCAAAAGGCGTCCACAAACATTAGTAACGTTAAAAGTTTTATTCTGTCAAAGTACGCCATCATTTAATCAGTTCAGGGGACGGACGGAGCAACTGTGTGACATAAGAAGCAGTGTTCAATGACCAGAGGAGACTGTAGGAGACCCAAAGCTGCATTTTCTATTTCCCTTCCACCCTGCGCCAGTTGCTTGGCAACATCCACCGATGTAATGTCTCACTAGGTTAAAACCAATCAGCAGGAGTTAACCACAAGCCCCGCCCAGTTACCCTGCCTGACCTTTTGCAGGTACACACCCCTGTTCAGGTACTCAGTTGCTGAAATGGCCTGGAAACTGGTCCTTTCATGACAGCTCGGTGAAATGGAGAAGCACATTGTGAAGGTCTGGTAAAATTACCCGAAAGTTCTTATAGTGGAAACAGACCTAATGTTTCTCGATATTCTCACAGGTGTGGCTACCACGGTCACCCCAACAACTCATTGGCAGCCACTGTTACATTCCACAACTAGACGTGTGCATTTTGTTACAGCTTAGATCACAAATGTAAGGTCCAAATTAGATCTGGATCTGTACATGCCTTCTGATTAAAGCTTTCATCTGTGGGCCTCCATCCCACATGCGGGTCCTGGTCCAGCCTCATGTATGACCCGGCTGTGTGTTTAGCTCTTTCTGCCACTTATGCTTCAGTCTAAAAGGAATGTATTCACACAGCGATGCCGATCTGACGTAATGTTTTGTCTCCATCAGTCTGCACTGACATGCTCACTAATAGTCTCATGTGTAAACGTTGTACGATATCGTTGCCCATTAACCCTCACACTATCCCCGTGACGACAGACATAACCGTTCCACGCAGCCTGAAAGCTGCTGCTCATCTACACTCACATCATGTGTTGATGTCCTGTATTGGGTTACCATTAACGGACCGCAAACATAATGGAGCCACTTAAGGAATGACATGCTTTCCAGCACATGCATTTACAGACATGCAGACACACTCGCTGCCTGTCGCAGCATCACATCATCTCCCTGATGCGAGCAGCTGAAATGCGCGTGAAAGCACTGAGAAATGGTCGTATCGTGTGTCGACAAGTCAATAACATCTCACCGGGGGATTTATTCGGGCGCATTCAGACGCTGTGCTCTTATGGGTGGCCCTCTGAATTCGTTTATTTATCTTTACAGTAAATGTGCGGATGTTTCTGAAAGGAAAAAATGTGTTTAATGGAGCCAAGCATTTAGATCTGAGTGGTTGCTTTGAAAAAGAAAACCTGAGCTATTACGTCACAATAGTGGTCTAGATTTAGAGAGATTACTATTCAGATCCTCTTGATGGAGATGATGTTCAGTTTGGGCTTTGTTCCAGATTTTCATTTAGCTCCAGCTGAATCAGGAATTTCACTCTGTATTCACGGTCACGACAAAATCATCTGTACCAACTTATAACAGGGATCAATTTCAAAAATGGCTAATAAATAGTTTATAAATGTTATTATTTAATTTGTAAACTTTAATTATTTGTTATGTATTTAGAGAGACAGAAATGACAGGTTTCTTGCCAAGTAGTGATTTAAATCTGTTCAACTATATTTCTTGTAGAGTTGCAATATTAAACATTTCAGATTATGTTGCTACCTTTTAAGCACATTGAGCATGTGTAAACATAATGTTTCAGTATGTGATATTGTACTTTATTAGTGTATTATAAATATTCGCAGATATTAAGTAGGAAAACGTGACACTATTTTTGTTGACTAATAAACATTAAGAAATGCTAAAATTTAGCATTATTGTGAAGTAGCAGAAAGTAGTTTTAGTTAATGCTGCAAGGCTTGTTTGCGTGTTTAGAAATGCTAAATACCAGTTTGTGTCATATGTGTTTCACAGTAAGGCTTAGTCTCACTGTTACAAATGTTTATGACGTATAACAAAATGGAGGAGGGAAGGAGGACTTCTGTACGTCTTTGAGGAGATTCTGGTCCTTTGGGAGTATGGGGTACCAGGCCCTCTGATACGGGCTGTTAGGTCCTATGTATGGTGCCGGTTGGTCCGCATAACTTGAAGTAAGTCTGGCTCGTTTCCAGTGAGAGATGGACTCCGCCAAGGCTGCCCTTTGTCACCGATTCTGTTCATAACTTTTATGGACAGGATTTCTAGGCGCAGCCAAGGTGTTGAGGGGATCCGTATTGGTGACCTAAAGATTGATTCTGCTTTTTGTAGATGATGTGGTCCTGTTGGCTCCATCAGAACGTGATCTCCAGCTTTCACTGGAGAAGTTTGCAGCCGAGTGTGAAGCAGCTTCTGCTCCTCTAAATTCAAGACCATGGTCCTGAAAAGGGTAGAATTCCTTCTCCGGGTCGAGGAAGAGGTCCTGCCTCAAGTGGAGGAGTTTAAGTATCTTGGGGTCTTGTTCATGAGAGAGGGAAAAATGGAGCATGAGATCCATAGGCGGATTGGTGCTGCGTCTGCAGTGATGCGGGCGTTGTACTAATCTGTTGTGTTGAAGAGAGAGCTGAGTCAGAAGGCGTAGCTCTCGACTTACCGGTCATTCTACGTTCCTACCCTCACCTATGGTCACGACGAGCTTTGGCTAGTGACCAGAAGAACGAGATTGCGGATACAAGCGGCCAAAATTAGTTTTTGGGCTCTTCCTTAGAGATATATGAGAAGCTCGGTCATTTATTAGGGGCTCGGAATAGATCTGCTGCTCCTCTCGAGAGAGACCAGTTGAGGTTGAGGTGGATAGGATGCCTCTTGGACGCCTCCCTGGTGAGGCTTTCCAGGCACATCCAACCGGGAAGAGACCTAAAGCAAGAACCAGGACATGCTGGAGGGACTGTGTCTCACGGCTGGCCAGGGAACGCCTTGGGATTCCCCCAAAAGGGCTGGCTCAAGTGGCTAAGGTGAGGGAAGTCTGGGCTCCTCCTCAGAGGAGGAAAATGGACAGATGGCTATTTCCTTCCCTATTTCTAGCTCTTATTTATAAGATATTGCCAATAAGCCATTTCAGCCATCTAAGTGACAAACTTGTGCAACAGGTTTTATATGAAATGTATTCCTAAATAATTTAAGATTATCACATGAAATGTGTAATGTTTCTTAGACAGCCCAACCTTCAGCACAACATCCCAAAAAAGGTTTCTGGTGCTAACCCCATAAAAATAATGATACAAAAGAAACAAAGATTAACAGTTGACTCAGAAAAATCATCTTAAACAGATCTTGAGAGCGTTGTAAACATGTACAGGAAATAAAGACATTGTCTTTAAGCATTTACAAATGGTGAAGTGAATCTCATCATTAAAGGATGCGAACACAGACTGATGTATTTTCTGTATGACAGTGGTCAGCTCCAACATGCTTCCACATTTATTACAGAGGAGCTCTTTGAGATTAACCTAATAAAGCAGCCTGTTTCCTGAATTTTATTACATTTAGTATTGATCACTCAAGTCTTCTGAGTGTTTGTTTCTCTCAGAACCAGTCGCTGACACTTAACTAAAGGGTCAAAGTGATGAAAAACACGAGAAACCCATGAATGAATCTGCAAGAAACAAACAGATTTGTGGCTTATTGATTAGAGCTTCTGACTAAATGTTTACGGGGTTTTCTGAGGAGATTTGTGTGCGTTTTCACTTTAAACCAAGGGTGCAGAGAGATGAGATGGAGATCTGTGGTGGAGAAGGAAGGGAAGACACATCCTCCTCTGAGTTTTTGAATAAAGAAGGGGAGGTCCGACTTGTGTCAGTAACCAATAACAGAGGCCAGTGAGAGAGACGAGTGAGACAGAGAGCCACACCGAGGAGAGACAGGATGAAGATGTGACAACCTTTGAAGCAGTGAGGACGCTCTTGAATCTCTAAGTTGGACTTTTCTCTCCAATCTTTGTGAGAAAGGCTTCCATGATGGGTGTTATTGCTGGCTTCTTTTCCTACGAGACCAATAAATCTGTGGTGGTGAAGAGCTGGTCTGTGGGGATCATAAACCGGGTGGTACAGTTGGTCATCATCACGTATTTTGTCTGGTGGGTGGTCTGTTTTGTTCCATCAGTGTTCTGTCTTCTCAAGGAACCGGCTTGACTCGGCTGAACTCAACTCTCTGTGTCCCTCCAGCTATGTCTTCTTGTACGAAAAAGCTTACCAGGTGAGCGACACGGCCATCGAGTCGTCAGTCATCACCAAGGTCAAAGGTTTTGGTGAACTCAACAACAGAGTGATGGACGTGGCTGATTACATCTACCCGCCTCAGGTGAGGTTCTATGAAACACACGCTTCAGTCCAACTAAGAGCTGTTAGTGTATCTGTGTGTGAGGCTGGTGCACAGTGAGTGTTGGGCTGTGTTTCAGGGTGCAGGCGTCTTCTGCATCTTGACCAGAATCATAGTCACTGACAATCAGTTCCAAGGACGATGTCCAGAGGTGAGGGCTCTTTCAGATTGCTTTAAAGTTTTATTCATTGTGTAAAACAAAATGCAAAGACAGGTTGTTATGACTCTGCTGCCTTCTTAGAGATTCTCCTGTAAAACAAAAGTTACAACTTCCTAAATCATGGATTTCTGTAATTGTTGCTTTGCAAATCAACCTTATTTCAAAGGAATTCACGTAAGCAGGAAACAGCTGCTGATGTTTGTTTTAATGTGAAAATCTATATGTTGATGGTGAAATATAAGCAGTTGATTAACTTTGTGTAAGATTTTTCTGTTTGCCATCATTTTAAATACATTTGCGTCCTTTCAGAAATAAAGAATAAACGAACGTTGCACACGTTGTAATGTACATGCAAAAGTAAGTAGGACGGCCTTCCTGGAAATCTGCTCTTGTGATCAGTCTGTAAGTGGTTTGGTTTAAAGAGCAGAATCCGTCGGCAAATAAACTCTGAGGAAAAGTATCATGGAAAAAACTAATGTTATTTACAAAGAAGAGGGCAATGTATAGAGACTGGTTTAGGAACGTCCGAGGAAAGAGCTCAGTTTGCACACACACACACACACACACACACACACACGCACGCACGCACGCACGCACACACGCACGCACGCACGCACGCACACACACACACACACACACAGAATAAATATTTTCAAAGTTTTTTTGATGATCAGTAATTTGCAGACAGATAATTTTTGTCTCTACTTGAAAAAATGTAACAGTCTTGATGTCTTTTCATTTAATCTTATAGGCTTTTAAAACACTTGATCAAAGTTAAACCCAGGGGCACCCTGTGGGGAACGCTCCAGGAGTATGGGGTGGGTGGCTTTCTGTTAAGGGCCATTCAGTCCCTTTATCAGAGGAGCGTGAGTTTGGTCCGCATAGCCGGTAGTAAGTCGGGCCTGTTCCCGGTGAGGGTTGGACTCCGCCAGGGCTGCCCTTTGTCACCGGTTCTGTTCATAACCTTTATGGACAGAATTTCTAGGCACAGCCGTGGTGTGGAGTGTGTCGAGTTTGGTGGCAGGAGAATCTCATCTCTGCTTTTTGCGGATGATGTGGTCCTCCTAGCTTCATCCAGCTCTGAACTTCAGCTCTTGCTGGGTAGGTTCACGACCGAGTGTGAAGCGGCTGGGATGAGGATCAGCACCTCCAAATCTGAGACCATGGTTCTCGACCTGGAAAGGGTGGCTTGCCAACTCCGGGTCGGGGGAGAGGTCCTACCTCAAGTGGAGGAGTTTAAGTATCTCGGGGTCTTGTTCACGAGTGAGGGTAGGAGGGATCGGGAGATCGACAGGAGGATTGGTTCAACGTCTGCAGTGATGCGGACGCTGAGCCGATCTGTCGTGGTGAAGAGGGAGCTGAGCCAGAAAGCCAGACTCTCGATTTACTGGTCGATCTACGTCCCAATCCTCACCTATGGTCATGAGCTTTGGGTAATGACCGATAGAACGAGATCGCGGATACAAGCGGCCGAAATGAGTTTCCTCCGTAGGGTGGCCAGGCTCAGCCTTAGAGATAGGGTGAGGAGCTCGGACATTCGGGAGGGACTCGGAGTAGAACCGCTGCTCCTCCGGATCAAAAGGAGTCAGTTGAGGTGGTTTGGGCATCTGGTCAGGATGCCTCCTGGACACCTCCCTGGGGAGGTGTTTCGGGCATGTCCTGCCGGCAGAAGGCCCTCGGGTCGACCCAGGACATGTTGGAGAGGTTACATCTCCAATCTGGTCCGGGAACGCCTTGGGGTCCTGCCGGAGGAGCTGGTGGAGAAGGCCGGGGAGAGGACGGTCTGGAGCTCCCTAGTTGGGATGCTGCCCCCGCAACCCGGACCCGGATAAGCAGAGGAAGATGACGACGATGACAAAGTTAAAGTCCCATTAGTCGTCACACACTGGTGAAGTTACATCTCTGCATTTGACCCATCCTCGTAGGGAGTGGTGAGCTGCAGACACGGCAGCACTCGGGAACTATTTGGTGGTTTAACCCCCAAAAGCTAAGTGTCAAGCAGGGAGGCATTGTGCCCTATTTTGCAGTCTTTGGTATGACCCAACCAGGATTTGAACCCCGATCTCCCAGTCCCAGTCACCCCTAGGCCACTGAGTCGGTTGTTGGTTGAATTGATGTGATACACTCATGGTCTTTTTTGTTGTTTCGGTATATTTATGTTTTATGTGTATTATGTATTGTAATGTGCAGCACTGTGTAGGCATTGTTGTATATAAAGTTTTCCATGAGTGAAATGAGGTGATTGATGTAACTCAGTTAGTCTTTGAGCATCTGAACAGAAAACAACACTGTTTTAATAATTTTGTCTTGAAACTTTAACATTAATCACAAGGAAATTGAAACCATGAAAGACAGATGTGTTCACATGACATCTGTTTGTGTTTCAGGTTGGAAAAAGTTTTCTGTGTGAAACAGATGAAACCTGCACAGCTCACATTGGCTCTGTTGTTGCAAATGGTGAGTCTGACTGATCAACAAAACTAAAAAAAAAACATCTCTGCCACTTGATACCTGATTTATTTTATTTGTGTGATGTTAATGTCATTAGAAACACCATGAATGTGTGAAATTTGAACTAAAGGTAAACATCATAATAAACCCTTTGGAGGAACCTTTGGAATAAACGGTTTAAATTCATTAAATAAAACACATAAAAAGGATTCATACAAAATTTGTAGCTCAAATTTTCAGATTTTAAATAAAATATTTTTGGGCATCTTAGATTTAAAATGCAAAGCTTCTTACTTTGAGGTTAGAAAATTAGAATATGACAAAAATAATAACTAAACCTAATTTAAATAGAAAAACTATTTAAACCAAAGCATCACAGTTTAACTCCAAACCACGCTGACTCCAAATGGTCCCTGAAATAAAATTGAGTCTTAAAACCATGAACTCCTCTGACCAGAGAACAACCATCATGGTGTTCATTGTCTTGTGCCTTGGTATGAAGCTAAAGCAGGAGTAGGGTAGAAATCACTACGGATGAAAACCAAAAGGGACCATTTTTTTATTGAAGTACAACATCTGACAAAAACAGATTCCACCAATCTAATTTGGAAAAGCATCCACTGGAAATCGTTGTTAACCAGTTTTGTTCATTTTAAAGAAGTTTATTTATAGTTTTAGTCAGGTTTAGCATTTTATAATTTTAGATTTCTAGATGAAAATCTCAGCAGGAAATGGATGAAAAGATTAGTAGCTCTAATATTGACTTGATCCTCTTTTATTTTACAAGGTAAAATTACAGGTAACTGCTCCAGATCCTCAAATGAAACTGAAGGTCACTGTGAGATTGAAGGATGGTGTCCAGCAGAGAACGATGAAGTCACTAAGTAAGATCACACACACACACACACACACACACACACACACACACACACACACACACACACACACACACACACACACACACACACACACACACACACACACACACACACACACACACATTCACATAAATACTGACACACACACACACACACACACACACACACACGCACACATTCACATAAATACTGACACACACACACACACACATACTCACAACCACACACACACACGCACATACACACACACACACACACACACACATTCACATAAATACTGACACACACACACACATACACACACGCACACATTCACATAAATACTGACACACACACACACACACACACATACTCACAACCACACACACACGCACATACACATGCACACACGCAGTTATTTGTCCCAGCTCTGTTACAGAGAAGAGACAGTTGTGACACCCCTGTCCCTTTAGGGAGTCGATGTTGGAATTTAAAGACTTCACCATCTTCATCAAAAACAGCATTCGCTTCCCACTCTTCGATGTCACCAGGTGAGTCAATAACATATGCAGCATTTATATATTCTATAAAACAGCCTTTTTAAAATGTGGTGTAAGTTGTTGATTCCTAACATGTGTTCTGTTTCAGAGGAAATTTCCCGTCCACACTGAACATCACAAACTGTACCTTTGACAAAGATCTGGACCCGTCCTGTCCCATCTTTCGAGTGCAGGACATTTTGAGGGAAACTCAGCAGAACGCATCTGTTCTGGCAAAGAAGGTCTGATCTGTTTCCCTTCCCTCAAACACACTTTGTCACCCACAAAACAACGACCTAAAAAACAATAACAACATGTAGCATTACAGTGTTTTCTTGTGTAGAACGAGGACACGTCTCTGTTTCCAATTGCAGTATAAATTGTTCATAACTGCAATATATGTTACCGGAATGAATCAGACATGATGCAGAATTTGTCATTATTTGATGTTGTTTATTTAAATTGAAATTGAAATTGAAATCTTTATTTTGAACATGTTAAAAAAACACAAACAACAAAGCAAAAAAACAAAACAAAAACTAGAACTGCAAGCAGTTATCAACGGGTTCCAAGCCACCAGCGCCAGTCGCCCACCCGCCCCCGCCCTCAACTTCCCCACTCCTCACGCAGCCCCGCCCCAAAGACACGTTCTCCCGTCGGCGTCCCGTTCTATTTTTAGGGTGCAACAAGACTGTTTTTCAGCCCTCTTTCTGAGGTGGTCTGCTTCAGGCTGACCTGGGCCAACACTCCCCCTGCTGACTGCAAATTCACACCTTCCACTAGAGCAAGCCTCTGATTGGTGGGTAGGATCAACCCACATGGGCTTATGGCATGCTCAATTCATTCTCATTCATTATCATGCTGATTACCTAGAACCTAAAAATGTCTCTGCCTGCATTCCTTGCATACCTAAGCAAGGATGTGTGGAATCCACCGGGCCAAGCTGGGGCCATCTGGAGCTATCCGGGCAGGGTCGACCAGGTACACATGGGAATGGCTCTAAAAGGTTGAAGGATCGATCCCAACTCTGTCCAGAACGTGACATAAGCTCCAGCCTACCCAGTTAACACAACCTGAAAATCTTAGCCTCTTACATGCAAACAATGATTTTTAGGAAATTTTTCAAATTTGAAATTTTAAATGATCATAAACCACACCCACTTTGATCAATCATTACCATATTGATATTGTAGTCTTACGACTCTATAACAATGACAACCACTAAGTTTCGTGCAGATCCATTTAGCCAGTTCAGCAGTATAATTTCTTCCTATTTATAGTGCCCTCTATTGTTGAATCAAGCTGAAAATCAAGATATCCACTTGAATTGACCCTAGGTATGGTGGTTATGAATAGCTTTGAAAAATGTCAAAATCTTTTGAAGTTATGCTAAAAAAAACAGTTTCATTCCCCCAAAAATATTTTAAAAAATCATATAAAAACAAATAAGCAAATTATCCAAAATCCCTTCACATCGTTTGGTCAGCCGCTCCTCCTCTTTTGTCAGGGAAAGTAGTGATGTGATTGTGTTGGACGGCCGGGAGGAGTTAACGAAAGTACGTTTGACTTACTATGCAAATTTCTACTAATTAGCATAAGTTTAAATTATTTTTTAAAATACTCATCTAAATTTGACTGAATCAAAGAAAATAATGGATGAGACCCTTTGTTTTTTTACGAATGTAATGGGGAGAAACATGCCATAAACATTTTTGGGGTACAACAGCGCCATCTATTGGAAAAAATTCTAAATTTTTTCTGTGATTGTAGATGTCACTATGACTGATTTGATTTGTAACTTTCTGTACAGAATATATATTTTTCATTAGTAAATGGGCGAAAACTTTTAAAGCCTATTTATAGCCTATAAGCCACGCCCACTTATTAATCATTTTCGAAATGTAGCGTAAGGGTCCAATGATAAACATATCTGCCAAGTTTTGTGGGAATCTATCAAGCCATTTTGCTGAAACAAACTTTTTGAATCTTTAGCGCCCCCTATTGGTGAATCCAAACAAAATTGCGTAGGTAGGGTTTACCGCTCATACTTTGTAAGGGTCTAGAGTCTCATCATTTTATCTTGAAAATTGTTGAAGATATAATCAATTAGGACATGTGCTAGCTAGCGCACTGAATTTGACATGGTGTCATTAACCCAATTTTCACTAATTCCGCGTTTTTCTTCATCACAACAACTTCTCTTCCTCCATAGATCCTATGTTCAAAGGTTGAAGTTGATTTGACGAAAAATGACGAATAGGTGACTAAAACTAAGTTTTGCGTTTTTTGAGATCTAGCCAAAAATCTAGTTAGGCGGAAATGGGCGTGGCTGATACAAAAAAGATGCAGGATCATCCAAGGATCATGTCCATATAAAGTTTTTTGACTGTAGGGCCTATGGTTTGGGAGCTAGTAGCTCAAACGTATTCACCTCCGCAATAGCGCCACCTAGGTGACTCGGGGTCCAACTTTTCGAACCTGAGTAGCGGTCAGGATTTTCTATCAGACTGCCATATCAGATTTTTCCTGGCAATTTCAGGCTCTTGCCCCCATACAGTATTAGCGGAGAAGAATAATAATGAAAAAATCCGTAGAAAAACAATAGGGAACCCTAAAAAAGTACAACAACGTAGAATTCAATGAGACTAATAAGTACCTCAAAACAAACAGAAAAAGAAAACGAGCAGTCACCTTCATGTTCAAAAAGGAGCAGGAAGAAGCATAAGCTTATTTAATCCCACCCCTTTTCCATTATCTAGTAATAAATAGATATACCTACATATACACATACATATATGTTTCTATCTACATACATGCACATACACACCTATTCACAATTTCAGTAACCCCAGTAACACTTCATAGCCTACACAACCTACAGATACATATACACATGCCATCATACCCGTGCCCCCGCAAAAAAAAGAAAAGAAAAAAAAGAAAAAAATTCTCAACAAGAACACCCTATCAAGTCTCTACCTCCTCCCTGTATCCTGCAAAAACCATATCCTTAAACCGCTTTTTAAGCTGCACCATGCTCGGACATTGCTTCATATCTTTACCTAGTCTGTTCCACAGCTTCACTCCACATACAGAGATGCAAAAACTTTTTAATGTTGTTCGGATACAAGGAAGTTGTAAAATTAACTCCCCTCTCAAATTATATCCACGCTCCCTTATAGTAAACAGTTTTAGAATATTTTCAGGAAGCAATTTATTTATTGCTTTATACATAATATTTATTTTAATGTTTTTGCTCATTCCAAAATACAAGAATTTGTATACACACATCCACTGATACAGATACAATAGACTGACATGTCCTGGCATCCATTCATATTCTCGCCTCCTCCCAGCCTCTCATATTCCTCTTTCAGCCACGTCTCTATTTCTGACTAGGTCCATGTTTACAAACATATTCAGCAGTTGTCTCCTTTGGTGATGAAGTAGGAAGAGTAACACCTGTGTAGATGTTCATTTACAATGAGAATCAGCTGTGGCTGGTTAAACTGCATAATTGGATTTAAAATATGATTCAACTCTTGCTGTCGTATTCACTTTAGCCTTATGTTATTGTTTTGAACATAAGTTTAACTGTTTTGAAAACAGTATGTTAGCAAGTGCAAAATGCCCTGGTAGTACAAAGATATTCGGCAGTTGTTGCGTCTGAGTAAGAAAATAATTCTGGAAATTTATATAAGAGATGTACTCATTGAATGCATTTTGTGCCCAATCAGTGATAATTGATCCTCAGTTTAGCCCACATAGACTTCTGTTGTGCTCACTGTGTGAAGAGTTTTGCAAAAGTTACCACAGTATTGAGAAATGTGTCCCAGCGTCTGTAAAAAAAACTGTAATGTTGCAGTTGTTTCAAAGCTGATGCTGAAGGCTCCTCGTTAGGTTTCAGCTTGCAGCCTGTGCACTCTGAAACACTCGTTGTTCTGATACATCACTGCCAATGTCATGTAGAGCTGAGCCGAAATAAAGAGTAAACAAATGCTTTTTAATATTGTGTCAAATGAAGGACTCGTTACCATTACCTAGCCATAAAAGCAGATGGTTTTATTTAAACAAGTTTTTATTGTTTCTATTGCAGGGAGGAGAAATAGGGATAAACATCGAGTGGCAGTGCAACCTGGACCTAAACATCGACAGATGTGTTCCCAAGTACTCTTTCAGGAGACTGGATGCTCCGTTTGAAAACAATACCATCTCTAAAGGTTACAACTTCAGGTAGGCTACAGAAGCTTAATGATCCCATCTGTTTTAATGATTTAATCCCGTTCCTTTGGCTTTCATTCCAGATTTGCCAAATATTACAAAACAGAGAAAGGGACTGAGTTTCGGACTCTTCATAAGGCCTATGCAGTCCGTTTTGATGTCATGGTAACTGGCAAGGTGAGCAATATGGAATTTTGTCAATATTCGCAAAATAAAACCATTTAAAAATCAGATTTTTGTGTTAAATAAATTGTCATTTTGCATATAAAATGAATAAATTACCGTAAATCCTCTAATACAGGCCCGGGCCTGTATTTGACTCAAGCTCATCAAGCTCCAGGCCTTTATTGGAAGGAGGACCAGAATTAGAGGCAGGCCTCAATTTCTATTTGAGCAAAATGAACTAATGGTTCGCTGGAGTTTTTGACAATTAAAATTGCGCCCACAATTTCAAAGTTAAACACATTTCTTTTAACAACGGTAGTTTCTGCTTCAGCCCTCTCCCCCACCCCCTGCGCAGCGGCCGCAAACTCACTGATACGCCTGCAGCCTCTCAGAGTTCCTGCTGCTTTAAACATTAAAATAATTATTTAATTTTCTGTTCCTCACTTCTGATTACCTTCAATGGTGTCTGTTTGTTGCAACCACCAGGTACAAAAACTAACTTGTTTTTATTTGACTATTTTTCTGTCCTGTCTGTTTATTATCTTCCTTCATCTCCTCTCAGTCCTAAAGAAAAACTGCTACCTGGGTTCATATATATTCACATTATGAGTTACCTTTGAACTGCAGTTCTAAAAGATCTACCGACCGCAAAAACAGCGGAGTGCTCGCCGGCCACATCAGTTAGGTGCGTCACCGAGGACAAAACAGGTGATGCGCCCCGATCCACAGCAGCGAAAAGCATCAGGCACAAATAAAAGAATTAAAAAAAAAAACATAAAAGGAAATGAGCCGACATGAGCTATCGCGTGTTAAATTAGTTTTTGAGGTGGCGACACCTGATTTGATCATGTTACTGTGGCCGTGCTCAGGACGCAGATGTCTGGAGCGCGTCAACAATCAGAGCTTTGCATGCGCAAGCTGGTTAAGGTTACGATGGGGGTGAGGGGAAGGTTAAATTGCAAGAGGGTAAACGTCACAATGTGGTTAAATGTCCGTTTTACAGCGGGTGTCAGTACCGACGCTCTGGCACAGAGAGTCATCTCCCGACGCGCAGGAGCTTGTCACCTGCTGACAGCAGGCTGCTGTCTTTTCCGAGGACTGCATCTTGCCGGTCATTATCACGTGACAGCGAATAGTCGATGACGGACATAAAAAGTCACTATAGAGCAGTGAAGTCGACTAGAGACTAGTTCATACAACCCCTACTGCTCCCCAGAGTGTTCTGCAGCATAATCAGCATGTTCTCTTTGAACTTGATATCAAATTTTCGCCTCCTCTTCATCTCCGCACGGTTAAAGTTACCCTTGCGGTCTATCACTGGCAAATCAAAAGTGAGACAGATGACACAACCGCCCCCCGTACTTGCTTGTTACCACATTCCACCCGGCCACAATAAAAAACCGGCCATTATTCACCTCCGCCGACTCTGACACCGGCCAAAATATGATACCCTGCAGTTAATTAAATACAGGCTAATATTAAAGGATTTACGGTATTGTAGTTTAGTTTTTTACAATTAAGCAATGAAGCAATTTCACAAAACATTGCACTGAGTGGTGTTTCTATTTTTAATGATAACAGAGGATGTGGAGTATTAGATCAGAATTGGGTTTTTTATACAGAATAACTGACATAAAGGTGCTAACTCATGCCTGCTGTCATATTAATTCTCTAAGTAACTTTGATTTATGTTGAGGAGTGAGAGTTCATATTTCTGTTGAAGCCTTTTTACCAAATCAAGCTGAATTTTGAATATCATATGACACGTGACGAAGTAACATGGCAAGGTCTATTCTGGGGTTATGGAGAGGAGGGTCCATCAGATTGTTGAACCTCATATTCAGGAGGAACAATGTGGTTTTCATCCTGGCCGTGGAACACTGGACCAGCTCTATACCCTTATGGGATCCTAGAGAGTGTGTGGGAGTTTGCCCAATCAATCTACGTACATGTGTTTTGTGGATTTGGAGAGGGCATTCGACCGCATCCCTCGGGGGGGAAGGGGGCTGTGGGGGGTGCTCCAGGAGTACGGGGTGCAAGGCCCTCTGATAAAGGTGGCAAGATGGCGCCAGTGTTTTTGGCCGTCCGTCTCTTATTGTTTTTAGTGATATTTTTTAACTTTCTTTCCCCGATAATTGCAATTTTTATGTATGATCGCTCCACTCTTTTGGAAATACGGTTGGCAATGTGCCTTTCTCCACCTGCCGTGAAGGATTTCCATCACACCTCTTGCAAGCTGCTCCCCGGACCTCCTCTCTACCTGTGCCGGATGCCGTGTCGCTTCCGTGGTTGGAAGCGTCGCCGTCGCGGCTGTCAAGCCGGGCGACTGGTGAAGCTTATGGGCCATTCCCATCTGTACCGGGTCGGCCCGGGCTGGGTAGCCCCAGTCGGCCCCAGCCTGGCCCGGTTGATTCCACACATCCTTGCCTTAAGCCCATGTGGGCTGATTCTACCCACCAATCAGAGGCTTGCTCTAATGGAAGGTGTGAATTTGCTGTCAGCAGTGGGTGTGTTGGCCCTGGTCGGCCTGAAGCAGACCCCCTCGAGAAGAGGGCTGAGAATGAGCCTTGGTTGGCCCGGAAAAATACCAGGCCACCCAGATATGTAAACAACCTACGCTACCCGGCCCGGGCCGACCCGATACAAATGGGAATGGCCCTTTAGAGGTCTTCTGGCCCGCTCACCTGCCTCCTTCAGGATTTCTGTCGGCGTGGGGCCCAGTCTGTGTTCCTCTTGGCGTTCCCTGGATCAGGCAGTTCCATGTCTGATCCCGTTGGAGTTGCCCGGGGATCTGGCGGGCCCACAGATCCGCTCTGTGCCAATGGTGCTGCGCCGTCATGGAATCTGCCCAGCAAACCTTCTCCTAGTGCCTACGTCATCGACAGTCTGTTCCACGGCTCGGAATGTACGTCAAGACTCGACCTCTGTCAGCTTTGCTCTTATAAACGCAAGATCCATCAGAAACAAAACTTTTATACTAAGGGATCTTTTCCGTGATCGAGCGCTGGACTTTCTCTGCGTCGTGGAATCCTGGATGCCCCGGGTGAGTCAGCTGTTCTAGCGGAGGCTCTCCCCCCTGCATGCTCATTCATAAACTCTCCAAGACAATGCGGCCGTGGAGGAGGCCTTTTAACTATTTTTAAATCTTCATTTACCTCTAACCCTTTTTCTCCTTCCACCGAAATTACCTCCTTTGAACTGAGTGCTTTTGAACTGGCAATTTCTGCCCCCCTCCTCTGTGTGTTAATTTACGCCCCCCCCCCCCCCCGCCCCCCCCCCCCCCCCCCCCCCCGATACAATAAGAACTTCATAACTGACTTCTCTGCTCTCCTAGCTGAGATTTTCACTCGATATCAACGTGTTCTCATTCTTGGAGACTTTAATATTCACATCTGCTGTCTGGAAAAACCATTTGTCACAGATTTTATTAGTCTAATTGATGCTTTTGGTTTGACCCAGTCTGTAAATGCTCCAACTCATGTGCACTCACATACTCTCGACCTTGTGCTCTCATCTGGCCTGTTGGTAAATGGTCTATCTCTGTTAGAAGTCTGCTGGTCTGACCATATGCTTATTTCTTTTGATATTTTTTTGCCTGTTAACAATCATTCACTCTGTCCGTCATGTTCTGGGCCCTTTGTTGTTTTGCCTTTACCTCCTTCCACTCAGCTTAATCCTAAAAAAACATTCCGTTCAATATCATTTATATGCTGATGACTGCCAGATTTACATGTCGGTGAAACCCCAGCAATCAATCCAGCCTCTTCTAGATTGCCTACGAGACGTGAAATGTTGGCTGGCCTCAAATTTCCTGCATCTCAACGATTCCAAGACTGAACTTATCCTTTTTAATCCGGTCAGATCTAGCCCATTCCAAACCCCAGATCTTTCATCTGTTTCTCAAAATCTAAAAACCATTGTGGCAAACCTGGGTGTAAGGATGGATTCATCTCTTAGGATGGACGCCCACCGTGAAATCCTGTTTTTTCCAACCCCGCCGTCTGTCCAAATTAAGAGCAGTTTTATCTAGGAAAAATTTGGAATCAGTTGTTCATGCTTTTATCACATCTAGGCTCAACTATTCGAACGCAATATTGCTGGGTGTCAATAAGTCAACCCTTGCCAGACTTCAACTTGTCCAAAACGCAGCGGCTAGATTCCTCACACGTACTGACAGGCGCCAGCACATAACTCCGGTTCTAAATTCCCTTCATTGGCTGCCCATCACTTTCAGGGTCCAATATAAAATATTGCTTTTTGTCTTCAAATCCCTCCATGGTCTTGCCCCCGTGTACCTCTCTGATCTTCTTGCGACTTATACTCCCGGTCGCACACTCAGGTCCTCTAGCCTGTTGCTCCTCAAGGTTCCAAAAGTGTGTTATAAATCATGGGGACAAAGAGCTTTCTCTGTTGCCGGTCCTAAAATGTGGAACGAACTTCCAGCCGCAGTTCGACTGGCATCTTCCTTGGCAGTTTTTAAGTCTAGACTAAAGACACACTATTTTACCCTTGCTTTTAACAGTTAGCTGTTATTTTGGTTTTTACTACTCTTATTTTATCATTCATTGTAATGGTTTTTATCGGAACTATTGTGAGGTTTTTATCTGAGCTTTTTTATTGGCTTGTTTCTTATCTGTTAACTACATTTTATTGCTCTGTTTTATGTTTTTATCTCTGTTATTGTGTGACTGTTCAGCACTTTGGTCGGCCGTATGGCTATGTTTTTAAAGTGCTATATAAATAAAGGTGGTATGGTATGGTAAAGGCTTTTAGGTCTCCATATGACCGGTGTCAGAGCTTGGTCCACATTGCCGACAGTAAGTCGGCTCTGTGAAAGTTGGACCCCGCCTAGGCTGCCCTTTGTCACCAATTTTGTTCATAACTTTTGTGGACAGGATTTCGAGGTGCAGCCAAGGTGTTGAGGAGATCTGTTTAGGTGCCCTGAGGATCAAGTCTCTGCTTTTTGCAGATGATGTGGTCCTGTTGACTTCATCAGAACGTGATCTCCAGCTTTTGCTGGAGCGGTTCGCAGCCGAGTGTGAAGCAGCTGGGATAAGAATCTGCTCCTCTAAATCCGAGACCATGGTCTTGAATCGGAAAAGGGTAGAATGCCTTCTCCGGGTCAGGTATGAGGTTGTGCCTTAAGTGGAGGAGTTTAAGTATCTTGGGGTCTTGTTCACGAGTGAGGGAAAGATGGAGAGCAAGATTGATATGCGGATTGGTGCTGCATCTGCAGTGATGCGGGCGTTATATCGGTCTGTTGTGGTGAAGAGAGATCTGAGCTGCTGCTGCTCCTCCACGTCAAAAGGAGCCCATTGAGGTGGCTCAAACATCTGGTCAGGATGCCTCCTGAACATTTCCCTGGTGAGGTTTTCCAGGCACGTCTAACTGGGTGAAGACCTAAAGGAAGACGCAGGACACGCTTTAGTGACTGGTCTCTTGGCTGGCCAGGGAACGCCTTGGGATTCCCCTGAGTGTCATGTTGGGTTGAAGTTTTTTGACCCACGACATGCAGAATCACACACAGGCAGAAGGTAAGTAAAAATTATTTATTCAAGTTGGATGAGTGATGCAGATGTAGATCGGGATTCGGGAGGTTCTGATGAAGTTCTGAAGTAGAAAACCAGAGTGAGTAGTTGCAGGACAACGGGCACAAAAGGTAATGAGAGTTTGTTTTACGGTTTCCTGGTAGTTAGGGAGAGTTTGAGAGGAGGGCAGGTCAAGGCTGGCTGAGTTGGTCGGGTGAGAGGCAGAGGAAATGGCTGGGAGCTGAGCACCGGAGTCCAGGGTGTACTGATGGCAGGTGGGGGTTGGAGAGCAGGCTGTCAAGGGCGAGCGAGGGGCTGGTGAGCAGGATTGATCCGGTGAGTCTTTTGGTTGATGGTGGAAGTTGGCAGATGAATGGAAGGTACCTGAGGAGGTCGGAGGTAACAGGGCAGATTAACACGATTGAAGCGAGGTAAACAGGAGATAACACAAGACAGGCAAGATTCTGGCGAGAATACTACCCAATACTGAGTAATCATCCGGCGCTGATGTGTTGTCTCGACACTCCTTAAATCCCCTGACCACTGATGAGAAGATCAACAGCAGCTGCTCTCCGGACACACCCACCTGCACACAGAGAAACTCAACACAAAACAGGTGTTAGCTTAGCACAGACCATGACACTGAGGAGCTGGCCCAAGTGGTTGGGGAGAGGGAAGTCTGGGCTCCTCCCCAGAGGAGGAAAATGGGCAGTTGGCTTTTTCCTTCCATATTTCTGGCTCTTAAAAGCTCTGGCTCTGGACTTAAGCTGCTGCCCCTGTTGACATGGTTTGGGGAATGCATTTAACCCAAGACATGCAGAATCACACACTCACAGATCTTATGGTAAAAAAAAAATCTTTATTTTAAAACGGGAACTGAAGGTGCACTGGAAAAGCCCAGTGGAGATCGAGAATGGGAGCGCAGCGTCTGAGGAGGGGAGAGCAGATACAGGTGAGTCCATGAAGGTAAGTCTAAACTTGGTGGGTGCAGAGAATAGACTTACTGGGAGTAGGGGAGCGTTGGAATGAGGGAGGGTAGGTTGGGTGCCGGGGTGAATCCAAGTGGGGTGTCCAGGAGAGGGAGCGAGAGGAGAGCAGGAGAGCGGGCCAGCCGGGAGAAATGGAGAACGGTGAGAGCTGCGTCCAGAAACCCTATGGGGCACAGGTGAGTAATCCTGAGGAGTCACAGAAATCCAAAAACGTAATCCAGAGGAGTCGCAGAAAACCAGAGATGTAATCTAGAGAAGTCACAGAAGTCCAAAAACGTTCCAAAACCTGGTAACGGGTAAGCACAGGGAAAAGATCCAAAGGTTCACAAAAAAAAAAATCCTAGAAACACTAGAGCACAAAATCCAAGAGTCACAAGAGGGCAGGAAACTACCAAGCTGTAGTAGTCATCCGGCGTCAATGAGTGTTCTCCATCCTCCTTTTGAAGCCAGACCCGCTGGTTGCAAATCAGCTGCAGCTGGAGCCTCCCTCTCCTGAAACACACAACTCAAAGATGGGAAAATGAGAGGAGTACTCACCCCGGCAAATGACACCCGCGACCCGACTCCGGATAAGCAGCTGAAGATGGATGGATGATGTGACAAAGTTAAATTCTGTTTTCCTGCATTTTACTCGGTTTTTGGTGAGAAAAGCTCCTTTTCAGTTGTAGCGTAGATAATCTACATACTAGAATTAACGCTGTTTGCTATCAGCTTTGTTAGATTCTGAGGAAGATCAAACAAGTTAGCAAATGAAGCTTATCATATATAAATATCCAGGATATTTATATAATCAATAGAAGTTCATACACCTACGGGCTTGGTCTATATTTAATCCAAAGATTAATATTTAATTTAAGAGATTTAATTAATAGCAAAAGTTTATTTATTAAACAGAAGACTTAATGGAATCTTTGCTTATTCAATAACCATATATACACCTGTCACGGTGTAGGAGGTGGAGACGGCGGACCATGTGTGGCAGAGCTGAACGGAGGAAAAATGCAGGCTTCAGTAAAAGTAAAAATGATTTAATGGCAGGATGGGATGAACAGGAACACCAGCAAACAACAATGAACTGACTAAGGACAGGGGCAAAACAGGTGGTTTAAATACAGAGGGCTAATTAGGGAAACATGGGCAGGTAAACGAGGGACAGGTGAGAACAATAAGGGCAATCATGGCAGGAGAGGAACACAGTCAGGCGGGCAGGGGCAGATCGTGACAACACCATTCTGTGTTTTATTTCAAAAAAGAGTCAGGTTTAAAAAGTTAAGAATGTATTACTAACAATTTAGAAATGACAATTTGTAACAGCTTTGATATTAAAACTTGGTATTAAAAGCAAACCTGTGTCTGAATGGAAACTAAAATGGAATGCATATGTTGGATGCGTGGATGGATCTCAGAAGATTTCTTTCAGAGAGAGAAACGTGTTCTGGGTGGAAAAAGTTGTTTTGCAGCTAACTGAGTTGTTTCTTAGAGAGAACAGCATCGGACGCAATCTGTGTTCTACCTCATCCAGTTAGATGACACTCTGTGTGGATCTGGAGGTCAAAGGGAGGATGTTGTCAGCCTCTGGGTACCCGGTCCGGTAGGGGAGACCCGAGTGGTACCGACTCTCTGGTCCAAAAGTTGTCGCAGGGTACACAGGTGTGCATCTGGCTTAACTCTGAAGGTGTTTTGCGTCAGCTGGTTACAGGTGGCTTTTATTTGGAGCGACTCTATCGGTGTGACAGAACAGCTTAGTGAGGCTTCGGGCGGCCGACCCTCGTCCTCTGGTACTCTCGTCGCCACGAGAGTATCTGGTTGGTTCAAGAACTGAAGTTGAACTGAGGAGTTTTTGGTTTTAACAAAACCTCAGAACACGCCCTCTCAGCGTCAGAAAGCTTGTTGTTATGGAGCAAAGACGTGTGAGGTAGTTACCTTTACTCTGAATTCAGTTCTGCATGATGTGTACACGTGCAAATGGCCTTCATCTTGGGACGGAGCAGCAGACA